TATTAATATATGTAAACGACTTTCATAAATGGTATATATGACTATATAATTAAATGTATGGAATGAAAATAAATTGAGATTTTTAAAGATAATTTTATATATATATATATATATATATATATATATTATGTAATATATTGCATTATTCCTCGATATGAAATATTCAATTAATTAATTTAATGTAAAACATTTCTTGTATTCTGAAAATTACTTTTTATTAAAATTTCTCACATTTTATTGAAACAAATAAACTTTATACAAATTCATATACTCAATTTAAATTTATGTATATCATATGTAAAATTAAGTGACCAAAGTGATGCAAAAATAGTATAAAAAGTTTGAACGCAATCAAGTTTAAATGAACTATTAATTAGCTAATATGCGTTTTATTCTTATCTAATTTGCGAGAAAAAATCTCAAGTTATAATATCCAAAAAAATACAAATACTTTTTATATCAGCTTTATCACTAACCATTTTAAGTTACGAAGTTAAGAGTAAAATGACACAGCTAGCTGCTGCGTTTTCTGAACTCATTCATTGATCATTTTGCGCCTAGTAACCGGTCATTCAGACCATAGACATGGTGTGAATAGATCAAGCGACTTCCACGGCGACAATGGCTCGCTGGAGAAGCAGCTATAAAACTAACAAAAATTAAGGCAGGGAGAATCTTGCAGGTCCGTCTGTCTCTCTCTTACTTCTCCTTTTTCAATCGGAGAGAGGTTTGAGCCCAGATATCTCCCTCTTTCTCTACATGCTCCTGCGCTCGCTCTCGATACACGCTAAGTCTATGGCTCGAACAGGCGCACGATCAGCTGCGTTTTCCGAACGCTTGCCCACAGTCTCCGTGCCGTGCCGTCTGTCTGTCACCTGACATACTACGCATCGTGCTCACGCCAAAGGTGGGGGCGGCCTAGTGCAGTGGCCAGTGAACAACAAGCGAAGAAAGCTAGCGGCAGTTGCTGGCGATCACCAACGATTCCCGTGGCGATATCACGAGTCCCCCACGGTCGCGACGGGTGAATCGCAGCCGGGACGGTGTTAGACGGGTGAGCGCCGCTGCGGCTACCTCGCGCGGTTCCAATCCGCCTGCCACGAGCACGACGATCGATACGCCGATCGCGCGGCTACGCTCCAGCTATGCGCCCGTTCCGGCCGATGTTTATGGTCATCATTCACGTCGGCTGACAGCTGTCAATCCCTCATTCGGGTCGCCCGTGAGTCATCGGATCGGCAGCCGAGGGCCACCTCAGGTGATTCCTCGATTATCTCTTACGGCCCGATTACGGGTTTCACCACCTGCGCACGTTGCGTCTTCTCTCTTCGTTTCTTCTTTCTCTCTCTCTCTCTCTCTCTCTCTCTCTCTCTCTCTGTCGTTCTTTCGTTTCTCTCCCGCGATCTCTCGCTTTTCAAAACAAAACAAAAAAAAAGAAAAGGAAAACAGACTCCTCTCGACTTCTCCTCTCCCTTTTTCTCAGACGTGAGTTCCTACGAGACGAGTAAGTAGTAGTTCGAGCGCTATTAAGCTCCACGGACACCCGCACGGGGAACGGGGACTCCTCCCGCAGGTATCGCACACGTCACAACCTCTACCCTTTGTTCAGATGTCCAGGTATTTTTTGTAAGGACCCATTTTTTTTTCTCTTTTGCACAACACGCACAATTCTTACGGCGGGTGGTGCTCGCTTACGTCCCGCGGACGCCGCGACGAGTGCACGTCACGAGCCGGTTGATTTCTTGCATTGCAGCGATATCACCGGCATGGCGTCCAGCTCCGTCAGCCAGGAGGACTTCGACAACGACTTCGAGTTGACGTCCAGGAGATCCAGGATCAGGACCGCTAGGGCCAGGGTGGGCCCGGCGCGGGCGGGAGACGTGTCTTCCATAAGCTTTCAAAGTACGTGCTTGCGAAAGTGTCTACGAGCGTACGACTTGAGATTCTTCTTGAATTGTCAGTGTCTTGTTTAAATTTGAAGAAATCTATAAGCAATAAATAAATCTAAATTTATAATACATTTTTAATAAAATATATGATTTTCTGCAAACTTAAATTATGTATAAAAATTAGGTATAAAAAGAATACCTGTTCCTAATGCATATTTAACACCAAGGTGATATGACTGAATTTTAATATTATTTCACAATAGCATGATCAAGCAAATATTTATTAAAAGCTAATAAGTCATTCTCTGCGTATATAAATAATATGATCTAAATACTTAATAATAATCTGACTCAAGAGACGAATCAAGAAATCACATACGACGTTAATGATATAATCTTATCAGTCTTTATCAATTACTTCCGATGTCTTCTATTTACAGAGAATACACCCGATGTGGAGGAATCACAGGGCGCTTACGACACGGGCTCCAATCCTGTGCTTCCGCCCGAGCACGAAAACCTGCAGAGCAAACCCATAATAAGGAAACAGGATAAACGCGTGACCGGCCGGTATGTAAATCGCGATCGCATGCGCTATGCAAAGCTGATAGCAAGTAAACCAATTCAATAGAAACTTATTGTCGCGCTTGGAGTGTCCATTAGCCAACCGCATCTTTGATGCACGGAACTTTTTACGTAATTGCCTAATATACTTTCTGGATTCTGGTTTTAGTGTCTTTAGTGTCGTATCCTGTTTGCACAGGCCAACGCATATAAACAAGGGGAAGCAGCAACGCGATCGGCGGAAACTGCGAGAAAAACGGCGTAGCACAGGGGTCGTGCATTTACCGTCGACAGAGGTTCGCCATTGTTATCGTCAGTCAGCCCATAAGTAACCGCTCGATCAAATTATAACGGGGAATTGTATACTAATACTCGCGGCTTCTAGAATTTTGAAAAAACAAAATTCGGTCTTCAAAATTATCGAGTTCTTTCATACAGAGCTGCGGATTTGTGAATCATTGAATTTTCTAAACGTACGCGTCGTTGAAACCTTGCCTCTTACGATCTTGCATTACCAGGTTTTTCTAAACACTTTATCTACTTTTTCAGTTACTCTTAGATTTTGACATAGACACACAACACATACACAATTTCAATTTGTCCTTTTATATGTGGAATTTTCCAAATTCTAGATTTTTAACACTTCAGCTATAATATTCGATAACTAACATTGATTAAAATAAATGGCTATTCTTTCTTTTTTGCTTACCAAGCTTTCATCAGGAGAAACTAATCTCGTATTAACAAAAAAGTAGATGAAAGAAAACTATTATCTTTATATCATGAAAAGAATCTCAACAAGACAACCGTCAAGTGTCACGACAGCTTCTTACAGTTACAATCATAAAAATATTATATTAATAGATTAAAATTTTTTACGAATTATAATGTTAAAATTAGCAATTATTATTACTTATGGGATATAGCTCACTTTATTGTTGAATGTTTAAATATTATAAAAATGTCTCGGACATTTGGTAAAACGCATAATTTCTTAGAGCACCGGAGGTAGTACGGGGGAAGACGAGGAGGAGCTTAGCGGCACTTGCCTTGAAACTAAGCACAACACGCATCACAATGAATTTCTTGATCACGAATTGATCGAAGTAAGTGCAGTCAATTCCATTTTTTTTACTTTTTATGGAGAATGTTCCGACAAATACGCACGCTGGAAAAGATTCGTATGAGAAGACTGAAGTTAGCTTACACATGGTTTATGCTGTGTACGTTTCTTTGTAGTCGAAAGTTGATAGGAAGAGGGAAAAGTTTTATATTTTATATCTCTCCTACGCGCATATACTTATATAATATAATTACAAGTATGAAATAATGCACCAGTCGAATTTAATTTGTTTACTAGAAATTGTAGTGACGTATTTTATATCGTCGGTCATGAAAGACCAAGAAAAAGTCACTAACTGCAATTTTCGGCTATCTTGAAATTATTTTAATTACGATTAAAATTACACAACAGAAATTTCAATAAAACACGAACTTTTAAAAACGCCTCCGGATAAATTAATGAATAAATAATTTTTTTTCTTAAAACTAACAATATGTATAATGATGTCTGGTAAGCAAAGAGAAATATTAAAATAGCAGCAAGCTTAGAATTCTTATTAGAATTTTTTATCACGACGTCGATACATATATTTTTTAAGTAGTTACTTATGAACGTCTATTTTGCAGGAGCGGAACGCCCGATTGTACACACAAAGGCGAAACAAAAGGTATCCACATTCACATGCAATTAATGTTTGGGAAACAAGCATTTTTATCATGGTGTAATAGTTATCTTTGACTGCCTTTTTTAATCAATCACAACTGCTTTCTAGGCACTACCGTACTTCATACAGGTCATGTATAATTAGGCACAGTTGGTAAGTGCGTCGTATCGGAAGAATCATGATTAGGCACGACCTGTACGAAGTACGATAGAGCTAGTAGAATCATGATTAACTAACTAACAAATTACTTATTCCAGTAACATTTTCCAAAACCTACGTACATTCCCAAGTACATTCCTATAATATAATAACTGATAATATTCCAAATATTGACAAGAACATAAACCAGTCAATAATCAACATAACGAAATAATTAACAAAAATTCGAATTGTGAAAGACTTGTTGCAATACAAAGGATATAATTTGAAAGACTTGTTGCAATGCAAAGTAATTGATTTTAGGTATATTTAAAACAAACAAAAAGAGAAGCATAATCCTTTTTTCGATTAACAAAAAATTTAGTTAATCTGCCATGTTACCATTGTACAGTTTATATTATTGTAACAGTTAAAGAATATATAATTACTCGTGTATCAGCATTATAACTTGTAAACAATACAATTTTAAAAATTTTGATTTCAGTGACTATAAATTTTAGAACAAAATATGTTAAGTTATGTAAACGAAAGTCCTATAAGATAATCTTTCACCTCCTGTATATAAATTATTACAGATATTTAAAATTATCTTTCTTAAGATACTTGCTTGTAAAATTTTATATCTGTGGATTAGTGTATCGATATTTATAAAAAACTCTAAATGATCTCTTAAAGTCTTAAATGATCGAGCAACATATATTTATACTGCAACTAAAATACGTAATAAATTAATAATTGCAATATTCTTTGTATCTGCATCGATGGTCGTGCCTAATGCGATTTATAAATGGCATAATGTATGATACTAATGAAAACTAATAATCAATATCTGTACGATAAATGAAATTTGATTTACATGCGACTGTTGACGTCTGCGTTTTAGTCACTCTGATTTGGAGGCCGACGACGAAGAATTCGATTCTCTCAATCAGTCTGACAGCGTTAATCAATCGGACCATGGCAATCACGAGCCGCAGACATCTGTCAATACGACTGTCAGACCGCGATTGCCGACGCCAACGGGCGACAACCCGCACGAAGTGAGCCATTAATAAATTAGAACAAAATAAGTCTGTCATCGAAAAATAATCTAAATTGAAATTAATTTTTAACGAAAGATATATTCTGAAGTTTTATTAAGTAGAAAACAAATAGAAATCTGTTTTCTATTGTATTAATAAATCGTACTGCTCGACAATGATAATGTGATTAAGCACGATGCGATTTACAGCTGATCGAACGAGCACAAGAGGAAAACAGGAGGCTGCTATCCCTTTTAGAGGATCGGGACCATAAAATAATGGCGCTCGAGGCTCGCCTTTTAAAGCAACAGCACGAGCTGACCCTGGAACGAGACCGACTTCGCGAGGAGAATGCCACGTTGATTCGCGCGATGGCGGCGTTAGCCAGCAACTAATTCTACTCGTGTAATAAAGATCCATGCCTTTTGGCTCTTTTTGGCGCTTCTTACGATAATCGCCGAGATGCAGGATGAGCCATAAGTCGCGCATACCTCGCTGATACCTTTATTATTTTCAAGAACGATTTACTTGTCCTACGGAAATCTAATTTTTGCATCGTATCCCAATTTTTCGATTGTTGGGAGATTTGCAACAGCCACGGGCTGAACGACTGAGAATCCGGTATTGTGTTAACTATTTTAATCATTGTTGATATTGTGATATATAAGTATATATTTTCTATTTAATATAAAATGCAAAACGATTGAAGAACGATTTAGATGCTTTTTTTCTATTGAGTATTAAATCAAATAGAATCTGTTCGTTACGTTTGGATTTTCGGAAAATTATCAAATTCATTAAAAAAATTATTGCATTAAATATCTATATTGCTTTTTGTGATATATTGTGTACTTTCTCTTACTCAATATGGTATAAAATGATTGAAGAATGAGTATTCTCTATCGAATTTTTTTTTAAAGCTTTATATAAATATCTACGTGATTTATTTTAATTTTCAATTTTCACAAGAGATAAAAGGGGCTGAAAGACGAATGATATAGGGATACCTTTTTTTGGTTAAAAAGCTGTAAGATAAACTAATAACGTTTTTGACTGCAGTGGATTTTGACCGATACGAGATCGATTAATGACATTACATGCTCTACTTTAGATTGAACGAGTAGAGCGTGTGACGTTAATTGATCTCGGTCAAAACCCACTGCAGTCGAAAACGCTATTGAAGTCACGCATCATATTGAATCTTATTTTTTTAATTTTTTAAATGAAAGGCTGAGACTTTAATAAAACGAATTAGCTTGTAATGAAAGTTAAAAAGACTTAGATTGATAGTGATAAAAGTTTAAATATTTAGTTTAATAAAACTAAAAAAGTATTCACGATAATTGATTTTCCGTATCCCTTTGATGCATGATTTATGGATCATCCTAGGCAATAGGAGAGGAGGATATACCTAAGTAGAGTAAAAACCTAACTTTAGTGCGTATCGCAAATTGAGTCATTATAAATAAACAGATAATTCTCTAATCACAGTGTTAGCTGCGGAAAGTATAAAATGTATACGTTTTTGCAAGCTGCGACGCGAATTACATTTTGTAAAAAACAATAGCAGTTCTCGACCTTGTGAAGACATTGTTGTGACGATTAAATCACTTGCAGAGCTTCGCAGGCACAGATTGCACGTTTATTATCGATACGTTTGCTATCTTTATTGCCGATTAATTGCAATTTTTTTTCCGTTTCGATATGTTTTCAATTCGAGCAACAGCTAGATAAACGCAATAGATACATTGGAACCACGTGAAAGTGCCGATTATGACGTAAACGACTTACTCCGTTTTCTATTGTAATAATATAAGAATGGACGTTCTATGTAAGTTTTATACTTGCAACACACGATAATATAAGATTATGAATCATTTTATTATTATTTTATTACTATTAATGTTATTATTATTATTCTACCGCGAGCCGTATAAAATTCTATGTATATATATATAGACACGCAGATGATTCTGTAGCGATTAATCGATGCATTTTGATTAGAGGAGACTTCCGCCACAAACTTGTGTAATACGCGGGATGATGTAACGAGAAAGTGTAAAATTGTTTAAAGAAAAAAAAACTTTTATCGCCAATCAAACGGTGATTTATACTCCAATCCTCGTTTTCCTTTCAACACATTAAAGACAAAGCGGACGATTGAGACTCGTTTGAAGGAGAGGAAAGTTTTTTGCATTTACTTTTCTGCATATTCATTAATTATTCTGCGCGAAAGATTCCTTTTCAACTAATTTCCATATAGGCTGTGTGGGATTCAAAGTGATAGATAGGAGGATCGGTGACGCACGCGGATGTGTGTGACATTGAAACAAGCCCCCAGTGTGAACCGGCAAAAAGAGTTTGCATTTTTTATTCATAAAATAACTAAATAAATTTTTAATATAATACAATACTTGCACGCACATACGCAATATAGTTACATCTTTACGCTAATGTTTTTTCCTAATCACTACGTAGCTGTACATTACAAATCGTTGGGATCTCCGATCATACACTTGAGGTCTCCCACTCTTCAAACCTGTCTCGTTTTTTCTCGTGTGCCCGCCCTTTGCTCTCATCCTTTCGAAATGTATTCGCTTCGATCCTTCGAGGATCTGTTTGTGTATCCCATTATCGTAGCTTATCCCGCTTTTAAAAGACCCCGGAAACACTTCGACCCGTAAAGCTTCACGACGTGTAATTTTCCAAAACGTATAAAACTTTGTTAAAATACTTTGTGTCGCGTTTAAAGAGAAATATATTTCGATTGGTTCGCAATCGAAATATATTTCTTCGATACTTCCAAAAGGCGCAAACATCTCGAAAGGGCAAGCGACCCTTCGCACGCATCCTTTATTAACAATAAAAAGATACGACGACGTGCAATAAATAGCTACCAGTTTGATTGCTTACAAGCGCGTCTATTTAATCGTGAAAGAAATCTTTTCGGGATTAACACGAAATAATTTTTAAAACCACTTTCAAAGCCATTTCGAGAAAACTATAATTTTAATTTAGCAGTTAATGTAAAAATGTCGATTGGATTTAAAAGGTTAAATAAAATTTACGTAATACTTATAAGATATCCAATAAAAAAGAAAGGCGAATGGAACCGGAAATTAAATCAGATTGATATGAAAAACTCTTGAAACTTAAAAAAAAAATTAACTTTCCCGACGAGTAGAAAGGTCGACGAAATAAGCGAAAGTATTAACGAGTGCATTTTTTAATTAAAAATCCGATTTGTCCTCCAGTTCCGTCCATTCGCCCGCAACGAGTCTCAAGGGAAAACAAACTGCGTTGCGTTTAAAAAACTCATTAGAGACCAAACGGCTGATCAATTAATCATTTTGATTCCGCTGCCGTTTGATTAGTGAAAAATGATTTATCGCAAGTCGTCGTACTAGTTATTGCCAGTGTCTCGATAAAACACATGCACACTTTGTGATGCAACAGGTACTACGCTTCTATATCAACCCTCTCTTCTCCGCGCTCGATCGCTGGCAAGGTAACTAATTAAATCGTTTAATTGTCTACACCGTGCGCCTCTACGACTATTTTTTTTTTGTTTCAGTTCTCTGTCGTTTATCGCAAGGCAACGCTTCGCTGATATGTACCGTTTTTTTTTGTTTCAAGATTGAATTAATTAACCGAGAATTCGTCGTCGCGTAGACAAAATATCCTAAGGAACTTGGTTCTCTCTTCAATCCTCCCCTTCACCGTCGTTCGCAACTCTCCTCCCGCGATTCGCGATATTACGCTTCATCACGAAGTTATTGTCGGCTGTGATTAAGTCGTTAACAAGGCGCCACCGGCGACCGATGTGTGATATTTCGTTGGTCAAACCGCGAGATTGTTGTTTTGCACGGCGGTTTTAATTCTCGTCTACATTGCAAAAACTGAGCTGTTAAAGCTGACGCACATCCTCGCTTCGGAGCACTCGCTCGCGTCGTGCTTGGTCGTATAATCTTTAAGGAGCGATTTGTCTGGACAAATGTGCATGGAGCGCTCAAATGTACAAATCCAACTAGAAACTAATCCTCCGATTCCTATATCCTTGCAAAAAAAAAAATTCCTTGCATCTTACCGTCTAAATAATTACATAAGTTTCGCGCAATATTACGGCCATCACTCTCCCCGCTGCCGTAAAACTACAAGAGCATCTTCGCGCTTCTCGCGTGTCTCGCTTCACATTCTCGCATTCATCGTACGTATCATCATCCCAACAAAACGACTAGATCACGATGGTTGGACCTCAACCAGATCCTTAAATGCTAAGGGAGCTTAACGAACTAAGCTATTATCAGTGTGAACGATATATTATTTCTTCTTTATCAAATATCAACCCGCGCCGCAATCGAAGATACACGGACACGGACAGGCGAACTCCCCCGCTCTCGATTAATAGTATCGATCGATTCGCTTTATTGTACCTATTGTTCTTCCCTCCTACCGTCTTAGCGCTCTTTTTTTCACCTCTTTCACTCATCGTTTTTTTTTTCAAATTTTTTGAATGTATCAATTATTAACGATCCTTTCAATTTTATTTAATGATCAGCTTCTCTCTTCCACAGAAGACTCACCATTAAATTAACATTTTACGTGATGCTGATGTACAGGGTGTCGCAAGAGAAGAAATACATTACAGCTCGAAAGTATTTGCCTACCTAATAGAATTTACAAGCTCCTTTATTCCAAGTATAAACAATCGTTTATTTTAGAATAAAATAAATAATAAAGCATCAATTGCATTTATCAGTTGATCTTAACTTATCAGATAAAATAGTTTTAAAATAAAAATTCTTATCATATATTGGATAAAATATCCATACAGCATAGAAAAATTAGTGAAATATTTCTTTGAAAGATCGCAACGTCGCAAATGTTGTGCAATACTGCTGTTCAAATTTTCCACCATCTCTACAATGTTTTCTGTAATATCGCACATCGATTCGCAAAACTGCTTCACAGTGTTACTGCAATTAAAAAGTTTAATGCTATACACGAACATGAATAGGCAAATACTTGTGAGCGAACTGCTATTGTAGCAGAGCTGCGCGTTCTAAAGAAAAATTTGGCTTTTTTCTCATAATCACATATATATATACGTTTCGTTTCTTATTAAATACATTTAATTCTCCAAATAAAAATTTTTGAAAGTAATACAAAATAACCCTTTATTTGTCCACACAAAATAAAATGCCAGCTGAAAACAGCTATAATACTATATAAAAAAAAATACATAATATCTCTCGGAATATTGTTTTTGCATCGGAAGAGGTCTCTAAACCAAATTCCGTCGAACGTGCAATCGTGTCATCTATCACATTTAACGATTCCACTGATTTCACGTTCGATCCCATATTGAAAATTAATTAAATCGTTATCACTCTCATTAAAAGAAAATACATTGTACCGAGCACAAAATTACTTGAGATGAGACTCTATCACTGCAAAAGCATTATTGTTAGTCGAGAGACTAGAATCTCGATAGTTTCGTCCTCGTGACACCCCGTACATGTTGAGTCGACGGTTATTTTCTCCATGTGGAAAATAATTTTTCTACTAAAAATTCATGCCTGATTTGCCGGAAGTCAATTGAGAGGCAAGCGCGTTTTACTGGCTGAAGGTCGAAAAGATATTACGCCTAATAGGAAGTAGTAAAGAACATTGGTTTCACCAATTTCGATCCATTTACTTTTTGTGCGTGCTACACTGCAGGCTTAATCTGCCTGCTCACGTTAGTATAAGTTGTAACTTCAAAGAGAAGAGAGTTTAAAGATCGTAAGATCAATGCTACCATTTTTATGTTTAACGTTAAATAATATTTCACTAATATGGACTCACAGACCCCTTAACGATCAATGCCCGAAACTGCATGAACAAAGTTTCAACGTTTTGCCATGAGTTTCTTTTCATGTTACAAGCTGCCTATAATTAATCATTGGAACAGTCATTTGCGTCGATTTCGTATCTTCCTTCCTCGCTTTTTCTTCTTGCATAAACAATTGCGGAACGACAATCAAGCCGTTTAATGAAAAGCTCGTAGGCGAACATTCTGCACGTTTCACTTGCCTCTCTATTGACTCGGCCAGGCGTATTATGGAACACTGTGTGTCGTAAGTACAAGTTATGTTCACCGTTCTCGCGCGAACGTCATTCGAAAATAAATAAATCGCGACGCGCTGCTGCTTGTTATCGAAGCTGGAAGCGAGCGTGCTCCAATTCTTCTCACGTGAATTACGCTCCTTGCCATTTTTACGCCTCTCCGCAGTAGAGAATCTCCCTGTGACTATTTTCTTTTTCTTGGATACACGAATAAAGAAGGCACATCGCATTCGTAACGTTTTAAAGCTGATTTCCGTTTGCACGTGGAGCATACGGAGTAATTTCGGTATGTGGCACTAACAGGAAATAATAATTTCATAATAGGAAGTAATCATTCATAGAGAGAAATCAACTTTCGTAAAAATACAACGTGTCTTCTTCACATATTTGTATCCCTTCGAGTCTCTTAATAAATCGCGATTTGTCAGTTCGGCAGTTTGACTTCACCATTTTCAAATGAATGGTCGTCCCGAAGACACGGAATCCGGGGGAAAAAGAAACGTACTAATTCTAAAAAAAAAAAAACTTAAGAGCCTGACTTGAAAAACAGCTCAAATCGTCGTGTGACGCGAAGATTGGGAAAACTGAAAATTCCGCAGATCCGCGTATCCGGGATATCAAGAAAGGATGCCGAGGGGCATCATTGTTCGTGTTTGCAGAATCTTCCTACGGTTGAATCCGGTATCTTCAGGCGGTCGGCGATCCGATCCCGCGAACTGCGTTCAATCGTCGTTCGGATTTAGTCGCGAAGAGCTGCAGGAAGGACACGTCGACACTCACGCTCTCTCTCTTTCTCTCTCTCTCTCTCGGGATATGTTTGCATCTTTGCGACGCACCGACGCCGTCGCCGACGATCCGGTACACCCTCTTAAGGGAGACCAGAAGAAGAAGATACGAGAGAGGTGCCCGGTCTCAGACGCTGCAGCCGGAGGTGACTACCTCTTCGCTGTTAGGCTGATGACTCCACCTGCACTGGTGACAACTGCCCGTCGTCGTCGCCGTCGTTGCCGTCGACGTCGTCGTCGTCGTCGACGTCGTGGGCTCCTCCGGCGCGGAGTTGGCGACGTCGCCGGACGCTCGCAGGCCCTGCTCGAGCTCCAACAGCTGACCCATGAAGTTCAGGTTCGGGCTGATGATCGGACGCGCGTTCTTCACCAGTTTGTACGCCTCCACCATCGACAGGCCTTTGTGCCGCATTATGTAAGCGATCGCGATTGTTGCGCTGCGCGACACGCCAGCTTGACAGTGCACCAGCACGCTGCTTCCGGCCTTCCGCGCTTCCTCTAGAAAAAGAGACAAATTGCGTGATGACAAATGCGTTATTTCTTTCTTTTTTAAATAGCGATGATAAAAAGCGATTATTCATGCAATCACCGAAGAAAAAACTATTTACACTTTTCAATTACAACAATAAAGTACCGCTCTAATTTATTCCTAATTTAATAATGATTCCTTAAAAAAAAAAGTCAACAAAAAGAATGTATGAAAAATTGATAGCACATTTATAATGATATGGATTTAATTGATTTTCAATGTAAAATAAAATTTTGATAACATTTTTAGATACCTTATTACGTTTCGTAATTCAAAAATTATATGTTGTGATTTTTTTTAAACATGTATTGATCTGTAAGACCGTCATAGATCACTCTTTGCGGTGTTGAAAGTATGCGTTTAATTCGAAATCTCCTTTGGGACTTAAAAAGATTTCAAGATTCACGGAGCCGGTTTGTACGGCGCGTGCTCTTTGAAAAGTATGAACGAGTCGCGCTCGTAAACGTTGAAACGAAACAGTCGTGAAACCCGAACGGCCGACTCGGGTTATGCAATATATGGGGGACGCTATCGTATCGCGAGCGTGAGTCACTGCATCGCCCGGATCCTATGCAGACTATGCAAACGTTTTGTCGCACCGCGAAAGAATTCGACTGCGTACGACAAATTGATTGCATCTTTCGCAAGGTATGCATTTCGAAATTTTACTAGGCTTTAATAATAATCCCAACGCCTTTAACTCGATCATAAAAGAAGAGAGAAAGATTTCTTCTACGTTTCTTACTGCGAAAACGCATGTCACAAAAGAAATTGTAAGTCTGGTCAATGGAAAAAAAGAAGAATGGTAGTTCCACAATACTTGAATATCTTATTAGATCTTAATAATAATCTAAATACTCTTAAAAGTCGATCATAATTTATATTTTTGTACGTTTTGAACGGAGAAATTACACGGTGAAAAAATCTGCAAGTTTAGACCAAAAAAAAAAAAAAAAGAAAAAGAAAAGATAACTACTCGAATTTGTGATTAAGCAAATCACGACGCGTGAAGGAATGAGTTTCTCGAAAGTAAACTTCGGAATCGAGTGCCAACGGCGACAGGGTGCGGAGTTTATTCAACCGGCATTCCACCAGTTGCTCGCTCGCTCAGGGGGAGGCCTGTTTCCCTCCATCCCTCTCTCTTTCGTCCCTTTTCGAGCCCTTACAATCGCCACGCACGACTGCCGCTCTGCTTCCCTTCCATGCGTATAATTCCCCCCCCCCCTCTCTCCTCACCTCTCCTATCCTCTCTTTTCCTCACAGATGTCCGGTGCATAGCGTAGAACTGCGCGTAAACGCGTTGAGAGAAGGAATCGACGACGTCAAGGATGAAGTAGGAGAGAAAACGCAGGGTCAAAGGGTGAAGGGGGAGGTCTCTTACGTTTCACGGATGCGCGCGCGCGCATGACTCATGCTTTCATGAATGGAAGGTTCTCTTCTGGTCTCCTGCCGTTCGGGCGCTCTGGTTCAATGGTCCACCGGAAACGCTTGGTTACACCCTGTTTCCGCCCATGGGCCTACTACTACTTGCCGCAAAATAACGGAATGAACGCAACGGAGCGGCCGGAAGAAGAACGGCAGGAAGCCGCCAGCGTAATCGTGGAAATTACATCGTGGTTCAGCACTGACGATCATCGCGGTGGATCATCCGCGATATCGAGGATCAAGGAATGGCGCGACTTTAAATCATTTCATATTTTTAAATTGCGTTTAAGGAAAAGGGGATATTCCTGAATAATTAGCGGAATGACACGGTTCGGTAATTCCTCGTTCTTCGAAAGTCTTGAATAAAGAGTATGTCATTTTGAGAAAGCTGCATAGACGACCAGTCACGTAATCGAAAGGGCAATTCGAAAAATGATAGTCTTTCTTTTTAAACCCAACTATTAAATGCCTTCTTAGCCTTTCTCCGATGATAAAAAAAAAACTTGATACAATCTCGAAACAACAAATTTCACCGCACTCACCGATAAAATCGAACGCTTCCTCGAAGTACTGCTTGAGGTTCTGATGACCGGAATCCGAGGCGGGTATCTGCCTGTACGTGATACCCCGCTCCTCGTGGTAGCCGGGCAGCTGCGAGGTGACGTTCAGCACCCGGGTCGCGCCGAGGGCGCGCAGTAGCTGCAGATCGGCGGCGTCCCTGCCGTTACCGAGGTACAGGAACGGCAGCACGCGGGACGCCGGGTGGTTGTCGATGTCGGCCGGCTGCGGAGTCTGCGGGCCGGAGATGCTCAGCACGGGACAACCTGGTCCAGGACTCGTGCAGCCGCTCACCGTCGTCGTCGACGGATCGGCGGCGGCGGCGGCGGCAGCGGCTGCGGCGGCGGCGCCGTTCGGCAGGAGCGTGTCCTCGCATAGCTCTCGGTGCCGCCTGTGAAACTCCCGGTGTCCGCCTGAAAAATTCGGTAATTAATTAGCAAAGGAAACGTCGATATGTTATGTATATGTGCTTCAGAATTTTATAGCGATTTTAGAATTATTAATTTTATAATAATTTAAATGTAAGGGACAAATGGAATATTAGCAGATGTCTTTCAACTCCTGTTTAATTGTTGAAGGATATTAACTTGTTTGTCTTCAAGTGCAGTTTTATTCCTAAATTATCGTCGTACGACGTGAAAATTAACGCGAACAAAGTCGAACGTACTTTCGAACGTAGGTATATGTGGAACATACACACAATGCTGGGCGTCGATAAACAATGAGTACATGGTCGGTCACGATTCTATGTCTATGTTATGTTAGAAATACTAGGAGAAACGTCACCGAGCCAACTTATTGATTAACTCGGATATATACGTCCCGCATGCTCCGAAATAATTATAACCCGCGCGACTTCGCTATTTGCAGATTTCTTTATAAGTCGTCGTTTAGAAAATCATGATTTATAATTTTCCGATTTTCACAGATATAGATGTTTTTTCATTTTAGGTAAGAAATACGAGAGGGACAATGTCACGCCACATCAATCTTACTTATTCGCGTCGTCAATTCGACATTATCTCGCGTTGACGTTCATTTGCGTGTTTGGAAAGGTGCACGATAACTCTAAGCCACTCTGTGTAGAAGTCAAGATAAATATTTAATGAGTGATCAATCAGGTAAATTAATTTATTTGCCGGATTACAAATGCGCGTCCCTCAGCACACGTATCTCGCGTCTATATCTAGAAAATCAGAAATCGTAAAGATCCCAAGGGATGTAAGACAAGAAATTCAGTAATCGCGCGTAAGATCTTGAAAACCTGATGTTCAAGCGTTCTAGGGATATGGAATTCCAGAAATATCTACAAGCATCTGGAAGAGGATACAAGAAGCGATCGGATTTTCCCCCCCTCCTCCCACAGCCAGAAACAAAATAAAAATACGAGGATCCGAAATTTAATTATCTCAAGATCAAACGGTCGAAGCATTCGAGCAGAATTCGAAGCCTCGAATGGACGGATTATAGGAAGGCCATAAATTTCCGAAAGTATCTCTAAAGGTGGATATCTCGCGAGTGAAGGCTCTCCGCGATTAACAAACGCAGAGAAAAGAGAAGAATCTACGTCGCAGTTGTTGCGTGATACCGCGATTTATAGTAGTGCAATTACCTTTCTACTTCGTGGAACGTTAATTCATAAAACGGTTTAGCTTACGTCTTTTATATTTCTGAAGCAGGAGAAGAGAGATCTTCGTAATCCGAAGAGAGACTTCGGAATGTTACGTCCATATATTTGTATTGCTATAGAAAGAAAACGAAAAACGCTCGAGGGCTTTCGCGGATCTTTCTCCGCGGCTTACGTAAAGCGCCAATTGTAAGAGTCGCAGAGGAGAGATCCAAGATGAATCTCGGAGGGTGATGCCATCGTCTGAGGACGGCCGGTCCGCGACAGCGATACGCGGACGAGGGGTGGGATAACGCGACGGCGCGGAAAAAATGGGCGGAAAGGAAGAAACGACGAGGCCGAGAATAAACGGGCGGCGGATAAAAATAAAGGAACGCCGTGAACGCGAAAAGGAGAGAGAAGGCGAGGAAGAAATGTGGGCTAAAAGTGTCTTCTCCTGACCTGCGGCTGCTACTAAGGCCTGGCTCAACTCGATGACTCACTCGTTTACCCCTCTAGGCCCCGCCGCCGCGCGGTCGGTTGGCTCTCGCGAAGCGGCCACCAACCCCAAACTGTCGTCGCCAATCATTATTCCAACGTTGGCAAAGCTCCTTACTGATTTCAAATCTAGCTCGCGACAGTACATGAGTAATGCTATGCAAAATGGTCTGTGTTGTGAAACGATTTTCCCCGAAAGTTCCCGAAATTAGAAGAAAGCTTCGAATTGCTCCAACATTGACAAAAATCGATTTTATGTTCTCCAATTAAGGCTGTCACGGTTTCGAAATTATATCGATAACGGAAACGTCAATTTTGGAAAATAATTATTTACAAGGACATATATGTAATTTCTATTCCGCGATACTTTAATTGATCTAGTTTTCATTTATCTAGCTTTCTACTTATCTATTTTTCATGCTATTATACATAATACTACGCATTCTTTGTCATTTCTATGATACAATAAATCGCGAATTTCATAGATTAAATACCATAAATATTTCGGCATAATAATTAGATTTTGTTTAATAAAGTTAATCTAAAATTCTTAAGCAACAAGGTATTAGATGTTAAAATGAGAAATTTTCGATCAAGCATAATCTCTTTATTAAATCTCCTCATTAAATCTCAAATATTTATTACGAGTAATAAGTGTTATGTTTCATAACAGTGAAAAGACAATAATTTAATGTCACGTAGATATATTGTCATAAAACGAAAAAATATGAATTTAAATATACGGTTAAGTCAAATATAGAGATTATAATGTTGAAAGCAATAAGCCGCATGATCGTTACGGAAAAAGCCAAATGTGGGTTACTTTATTTAGGTCGGTACAGCGATCAAGACGGTGCAATTTACACGGTGATCGCGCAACGGTCGTCGCACCCGATGAAAATCCTGTTACTCAAACACCACGTTCTTAAGCAAGGATTCGAAACAGCGAGCTTCACACGCGGAAACGAGAATGTTTACAACTGTGGAATCCGAGTTCTTGCTGATACCAAGAATTTTTGCGATTATATTCACGGTCGTATCAAAAAAGAGTGGATGCCGCGCGAGTATACAAGCGCGGCGCAAGAAATTCCGATGAAAGCAAGAGTGATTGAATATTTATGCGACATACAAAATATTGCAAAATTACTGGCATTATGTTAAACAAAAGTAAAAAGAGAACGCAATTGATTTGATATTGATGATCGAGCTATGTACAATAAAAATTTGAGGAATCTTTATTGAGCGAAGTTCTTCGCTATCTTTAGCAGAACTTTAATCCGAGATTTATCAAAAGATTTTTCTATCATTACGTTAACTTATTTCAAATCCAGCTCGCGGCAGTAATGCTATGCAAAACAGTCCATGTTTCAAAACGATTTTTCCAAAATTTATCCGCGATTTTCCCCGACATTGGTAAAAATCCTCCGATTTTATGTTTAATCGAGGTAAAAAAAGAAAAAAAAATAATAAAACTTAATATAACTTAATTTTAAAAAACCATCATTGAAATAATTTTATGATGCTTTATGTAACAAGGAGTAATGTAAAAGGCGAGATTAGTCATTTTTTTATAGTCATATGTAAACAAATGTAGATTTCGTAACTAGCAATAAAATTTACGGCAAAATTAGTTAACTAAATGTTAAATTATTATTAATGAGTATAAATTACTTTTTATAAATTTTATATATATCTAAATATTTTACTTGTTAACTTATACTTTTAATTATATAATTTTGATATATAATTGGAAAAATCTTCGTCATTTTTAATATTAAATATGTTTATAATAAGACACCGAATTTTTTTCTGAGGAAAATCAAGTTCTCTTTATCAAAGATAATTAGAAAAAAATTAAAAATACGTTAAAAAGAAAAAAAAATTCAATATTTGTAGATGTCTACAAGAATTTTTCCAAAGAATTAAAAGAATGATGTATCTACGGATATAATCGGCCAAATCTTTTGTGACAATCTTACAACTAAAAGACAAGGTTATAAATTATCTATAATTTTTAAAGATTTATATAGAATGTGTGAATTTAAAGATCTGTTCAATCAGAACGGAAATTTCAATATTTTTGAGTCAATAATCCGCATTTTACGCGAACTTTGGCACTTAAAATTTTCATACAAATTTCGCTATAAATAACATTGTACAAAAAATATTTTTACGATCGTATACACTATTTTTATTTATACTATATACACTGGTGTATATAGTATCATTGGAATAATCAAAAAATTTTGGATTTTAAATTTTACAAAATGTTTCTGCAAGACATTAAAATTATATATATATATACACCAGTGTATATAGTATAAATAAAAATAGTATATACGATCGTAAAAATATTTTTATTGATATACATTAATTTTAATGTCTTGCAGAAACATTTTGTAAAATTTAAAATTCAAAATTTTTTGATCATTCCAATTCAAATTTTATCTGCGAATTTTAGCACTTGTATACAAATTTCGCTGTAAACATTAGACGAGAATTACAATATTTTTATTAGAATATAACCTTATTTTGGGGACATCTTGTAAATATTTTCCAACTTAACATACACTTTTTATATATTAGAAAGGTAAAAAAAATATCTACATTTCTTTGCATCAGGTATGATGGTGACATCATCCAGACGATGATTCAGGAATACGAAGCCGAAATAGTAATCACTTAGTAATAACAATAAAGAAAACGACCGGCCAAATTGATAAAGACAGCGATATGATTAAGTAAAAAAAAACGTCATTCAATTGAGGAAACGATCAACAATCACAAAAATTACTTATAGCATCGACGCGTTTTACTTTTTTTATGTTTTTATTTACGTAAATCTCCGAGGGACTTCCCTGTCGGCGCGATGATGTCACGCGCGCGTAAGTGCGCGCGAGGAGTCTGTATATGTGTACGTCTGTATATGTATTTAAAAATAAAATCCATCGAAAAGTAACGAGGTAGGCTCGCAATTAATGTGCAATCGATCTGACTTACTCCAAGAATCGAGATTCTCGAGCGGCACCAGTCGGAGCACGAGGCAAGGTGCGTCCTTCCTGATCCTCATGTTTAAAATTAATCCTGGATGCAGACTCTCCCCCGGCCGTGTGGTCTCACCGCACCATTTGACACAGAATTCAACGAGATGGACAATCCTCGCGCTGCAAGAGCACGCCGCTCGGATGCTAGTGCGCGCGAGATATATATACGTGTATGTTTTTTTTTTCGGCGCTCTCTCTCTCTCTGCCTCGTTCTCTCGAGCGCGCGGCTCTAATCGTGACGCTACCACGATTGGCGGGAGACTGCGGGCTAAACGGCACGAGAGAGTTTACATGAGGCCCCGTCCGCGGATGAGTCATCGCACGGCGGCACGATTGGTCGGAATGGTCGGCCGTCGCCGTAGCCGCCGTGACGTTGGTGAATCGCGGCCGATCGTTCCCGAGCGTAAGCAACGTGATGGCGAGTGTGTACAGTGTGTACGACGATTCTTTACGCGCGCCGCGCCGTGCCGCGCCACGGCGATGCGGCCAGTTGATTCTTTCATGCACCGATATACCGGGTGGCTCACCCATACCGCGCCGTACGGCGACTTGCATCCCGCCTCTCACCCGCGTCGCCCTTTAACGCCTCAAATTTCGCGAAAGCATTACTTTTCATCAGGGAGGGAAAAAAATATTAATGACAACTCGCGTGAATTTTTGTCCGAAATAGAGCTTCAACATTTTTTGAGATCTTAACTCTTTCTATTTTACAAACGTCTTCTGTCGGAAAATGATTTAAATACTTATATACGAGCTGCGATGCATTCTCGTCATCGGATCTCAATGTCGTATAGATTGAATCAGATAATCGGATCCGTTCGGATTAAACGCCTGCGGATTCACAGGCTCCGGGAACGAATGATCTAAAGGTTTAAACATCGAAAGATCTACGCATGGAAATTCCTTCGATGCCAATGACTAACCGCTTAGAGCGAAACGTTTATTATGCTTCCGACGAAACGTCATTCTTTCTTTTTCTTTTTCTCGCGATTTCAAGGTCTTCCGCGAGACGCTAGATCACGATCGGTGATCAAGGATCCTTTAGGATCGCGTCATTGCGTATACGCGGGTGACGTCGCGCACAGCTCCAGCGCGGAATTCGTAAACCTTTCCGGCATGCACACGTTTCATGCAAGTGACACACGGTATATATTTAGATTCGCGAATCCAGATTCTGGGATCTCTCAAAAAGAGTGCGCGAATCTTGACATTCTTTCCTAGTTACACATTCAATCTTCTTGCCTCTCGTAATATCCAAAGAATTAATTTGTAAGAACTGTAGTAAAAATTCGTTTTAAAACCAGATTCTGAAATGTCTTAAAAGGTCAGTGAATTTTAACATTTTTCTTTAACTTATACGTGCGATTTTTATCTTTCTTATGCTCTTTCTTTTTAACAATATAGATTAACTTTAATCTCAGTTCGACTTACTCTTCGTCTTTTTCTAAGCGTTTTAAAAATTAGAAAAAGTAAGTAATTGAAAAGTAAGTTGAACTGAAATAAAAATTAAACTATATTGGTGGAAACAGCCATTAATACAAATTTATAAGGACTGCAATTAATTTATGCTTCTTAGAGGAAGGCTTAAATTTTCAAACTCCCAGATTTTCACAGTCTTGGATCTTTAAATCATCGCGAGTAAATCTTTCGAGTCCTCAAGACATTCTCGGGTCCTTAAGATTTTTCTATCATTACGGATTCTCAAGTTCGCGGATGCGTAGATTCTTAAATGTCTAGAGTAGTTTAACGAGAGCCGGAAAACGTGCAATCACTATGTGATTCTATTACCGGGAAGTTTCATCCGTTTCTATTTTCCTTTTCCTCGTCAGTGAATTATTCGCTAAGAATAAATTTTGAATATCGCAATGTGGCACAGCTTTTCTACTGGTTTAGCGCCTTGAATTCAAACTATTGAAATTAATCTGATTTCTATATATTTCCATCGGTAAGGATTTATTAATCAGTTAATTTTTAAAGCCTTAATCTATAGCTACTGTTCAGTGGAAGTTCTTTCAATAAGTCTATATATATTTAACACTTTAATAAGTAAATAGCTATCAATAGCTATTTAATAAATAAAATAGCTATCTATATCAATTTAGTAAGTAAATAGCTACATATGATAGCTATTTATATCAATTAGTGAGTAAATAGTTGCAAATCTATATTTAACAAACTGAGAATAGATTAAAATTTAAAAAAAGTAAGGATCGACGGTCTTGTTAGAATTTTGAAAAATCTAAAGTTCTTAATTTATAAAAAATAAAAATAAAAATTCTTAATTTATAAAAAACTTTTAAAAATTTTAAGTGCGTAGACGTCAGTCTCAGATACATAGATTCGCAGTAAAATTACTTATTTTAAATCAAATCAACAGACAAACGACTATAATTATCGCAGTTCAGGCAGTCTTTTCGAGTGACCGATCGTGGATTTTCGCGAATTATTTTAGACGCGAGAAAGTGCAATAAGACAAAATTAACAGATCCCGACCATCGCCAACTTGTGCATTTGTTTTCACTGACTATGCACTGAAATACGGCGAACGTGAAGCGAGTGCCAATTCATTATTACACCACGAATGACGTACAATTCAAAGATAAGATCTGCGTAGTATCTACGCAGATACACACAAGTGGAGAGAAAAAGAAAGCGGGGAGAAGATTACGATATAATATGAATCATTGTTAAATTCCACTGTGTGGCATTTAATAAAAATTCTGTTTACAGTGTCTCGTTTACAACGTAATGAATATACACGTCTAGAATCGTATGTAGATTACGGATAAATGCCGCCCTCGCTTCTCCCCTCTTTCCCAATTCTGCCGTTTCTCAGCTACTGTTTTATCGAGTTGCGCATTTTTCCATTGCAAATTGAGTATTATGCAATCGTATCACTCGGAGGTTTAATTAATGACTAAGCAGGTCGAATGTTTTCATGACGACTAACTCGGAAGAGACTCGAGAGTTTCTTTTAAGAGCGGCTTGAACTTGTCTCTCCCTCTTCCGCGCGTGGATTCTTATCAACAGCGTTTAACATATTACGACGTAGTTTGCAACTAAAAGCGAGTACCGATGCGGTAGATAGTCATATAATACTTAAGAGATGCGGCAAATCGGAAGCGTATATGCGTGTGACAGCGTAGAATAACATATTGTTGTACGCACATATCATATATATAGGCGTAACCGAACAATAAAGTATTACCGCTCGCGAGTGTCACTCGCACACGTCACGCGCGCAAGGACGCGCCAAGACGTCCAGCACGCTAACACGATCATAAACGAGCAGTTTTTTTTTTTTTTAATAGCATACGGAGAAGCTGAGAAGAGGCACGTGCAGTGTGTTCCTTACGCGACGCGAACGCGCGGAGAGGGTTAAACGTCTCTCGCGTCCCGCGAGAGAGGATGGGATTTTCGAGACGCGAGAGCTCCTCTCCCCCGCGTCCGACCTGCGCGGCACTTTCCGATCGTTTCCACTCGCACGTCATTCGATGACCAATGGAAGGACGCGTGTCGAACATATGCTCGTAAATGTCGTTGATATCGACGCCCGATGCGGTTGAGCGTGACTCACTGTCGGAGCACTGC